GGGCTTAAGTGGAGAGCAAATGTTTTGAGAATGATGAGGGCAATGAATGTACAAATGTGCTTTACACAATTGATGTATGTATGGCTTGTGATAAGAGTTGCATGAGCCCCTAATAAAACGATTAATAAATAAATAAAGGGGGGAAAAGTATTTTTTTCTTTTGCCATATTTTATACAATCCACTATATCCATTCAGAGGCAATTCTGTTGTGCAATCCTATTGAGTAGGGTTATAGTCATGAGATGGTAATTCTTTATGGGAGTAGGAAGCCTCATCTTTCCTGTTCAGAGCAGCTGGTAGTTTCAAATTTTTTTGGATCGCAGCCCAACTGGTAAGCACTACGCCACCATGGTGAAGGCTAAATGGAGAGCCTGGGTCATACCTCATAAATGAGCGCACTAATCACTGCACATACCAAACCAGGATTCATTATCTAAGTTGTCCACTTGTTGTCTGATTAGGCCCAAGGACCAATATCTCAAATATGACACAGGCTATTCAACTTGCTGATTAAATAATACAAGTTTCTGTTCACAGTGATAGTTCAGGGGAGTGGTTAGGTTTCAACATAGACCAGTATAAGGACGAGAATGCTTGTTGAGTTCACATTAGTAGAAAAAAACTTTGCCTTTTAGATACAATTCAATTCCATGCGCATGAGGTGAGGTGATTCATCCAGGGTCACTGCTTTTGTTCAAGTCAGTAGATCTCTTGATCTGAGGAAATAAACAATACCAGCTTCACCTGGACTGAAGGCCAGGGAGTTAAACATAAAGTGTAATACTGGCAGAGAGGGGAAGCACATGTATTGGGAAACCAGAACAGCAACTGAAAACCTCATAGAAAAAAATGGAAGTGGAGGTGTTGGTTAATACAAAATGATGTCACAGTTCTCGGATGAGCTACCATTTAGAGACTGGAATGCAAGATGACATTCCCATTGGCAACACAAAACACCAAGGGACAAGCTGACCAGGAAATGCCCATGTCTGGATGAAATTAAACTCAGATGGGGAATGGAAGCCTTGAATAGAGGAAAATCCCTCTTGTTGCTACAAGATTCTACTTTCAAAAACTTAGGTGTTCCTAAATACTATATTCCTCAGTACAAATTCTTGAAGAACTTAACTTCTAATTTGGGGGAAATGCTTGGCCATATATGTATAGACCCACTTGAACAATTGCTGCTGAGAAACATGAAAGGTGAACATGACCCACAGTGCAGGGAAGGCCTGCACGCATGCGAGAAGCAGGAGCCAGTCCCCAGAGTGCTGAGATGCTGGCATGGGACGAATGTGGCTTTCAGAGTCAACACAAGAAGATGGGCGATTTCACAGATGATACTGGGACATTAGAGGGCATAGATGACAATTTGCTTCTTTGGAAAAGAAAGGTTTTCAAGGCTGATCCTTGGAAGAACTATGTTCAATCTGAAAAGCAATTCGTACTGCATTTCAAAAAAATAAAAATCATACAAAATCCATGGCCAGGGAGTCAATTTTTAAATCTTTATGAGAGCAGCGAGCTACATCGTTCTCCTGAGGAGCAGCTGGTGGGTTTGAACCACCAACGCTGTGGTTAGCAGCTCAATGTGTAGCCTACCACACCACTAGTGATTATCCCCCAAATAAGTATTTGTTTCATTGTAATCTCACTAGTATTTGCCACCTTCTCTACATCCCACTCCTCCAAATAGTAAATATTAGCACTTTATTTTAATTTGCATCATTAAGGAAAATATTGTTCTATGGTTTATTTGCTAACTTACTTAGGTAAGTGATATAAAATTACATTCCATCATTAAATCATTTGGATCTTAAAATTCCTACCCTCTCAGGAATTCTCAGGGGAGCCCTGGTGGTGCTGTCATGGAAGCGTTGGCCCGCTAACTGCAAACTTGGTGGTTCAAACCCACCAGTCCCTCTGTGGGAGAGAGCTGAGGCTGTCAGCACCCCTGGAAGCTCTATCTAAACAGGGCCACTGTGAGTCAGAATGGACTAGCTGGAAGTGGATTTGGGGTTTTTCACAATTCTCAAGAACTAGTTGTATAACTAGCTGTGTAATTAAAAACTAGTCCAGACGTTAGCCCTTGGTGGGCCTCTCCTAGGTGATTCTCTTCACTCCTCATGCTTTACTCTCATGACTGACTGCTCACCCTGATCTCCAGCCCATGAATCACCTTTCTGCTACAGGCTCCTAAACCCACCCCGTCTGTGCTACTGCTGTTCTTTCTGCATCCTTCAGAAGTGCTCCGCACACTGGGAATGAAATACTGAACAGAGATCGGAAAGGACCACTGTTAAAATTGAGACTTGTTTTTAGATTATTTTAAAGATTAGGTATGAGCAACCACTGTGCAGCTTTCGTGTATGGAAATCAGGGAGAGGATTTTAAAAAAGTATTGGTAACTGAAAGAATGCCTAAGTGCTTCCATAAATACATATATTTTTAAATATTTTATTGAAAAATCTTTGTATTGCAAGGACTCATATAAACATATGCATAGTTCTAGCTACAAATTCTTTGGGCATTCTGTTAGTTTAAAAAAAATTTGAAAAGCTTTCAGAATTTTTGAAATTAGGCACTTAGAAATGCTGTACACAAACACTTAAAAAACAAATACCCTATGTTGGCACAGAAAAGAAAGCTGCATTATAGTGCACCCCATGGCCACCACGGGGGAGGGTGCCCCCACCCCCTCACAGGAAGCAGCAGTGGTGGCCGTGGGTTTCGCTGCTAACTCTCAGCTGCAGGGAAACCTTCACGGGACTCAGGTTCTGCTTGTGATGTTTCATTTCTGCCTTTTTCAAAAACAGCAAAGTCATTGTATGTTCAGATGACAGGTAACTGCCAAACAGGCTCTTCACATTTGGATCCCAACCAAGACATTGGTTGCTACCAATAAGCGCAGCAAGAGAATTCTTGATCTCTCGTAAACCCCATGCAGAAAGCCTGGTCTGGGAAGGCGAGGCTTCGCGCTGGCGTGCCACAGCTGCCTATGAAAACCCGTTGGCATCGGCCGCGAGCCTGTACCCAATCAAGGTCTCCTTCCCGCCGTCGTCCACGGGCAACTCCACGAGCACGTGAGGTTTATCGTAACCGAACGAGGTGGTAGTGTTTCTTAGCATTGTGGGGGCCTGTCCTGCCAGCTTCCCTTCAGCCGTATTGTCTGGGGGGGCTTCCGAATCCAATAAGAAGCTGCCAGATCCCATAAGACCGCTGTCGGAACCGTTTCTGGAGTGATACGAGTTTACAGTGATGCTGCAGGGCTCAGACTGGCTGCTACTTGAAGAGGAAGAATTCGCCGCTCTCACTGGAGGCAGAGGGCTCCCGGGGACCACATCAGGAAGACCTTCTTCAGTGACCACGACGATTTCGCTGGAAACTTCTGTGTGCTCCACGGTGGCAGGGCTGTCTTCTGTGTGCACGCTGGGAAGGGCTGCTGGAGGCAACGGCTCTTTGCCGACCACACTCTCACTGTCTGAGGTAACCGGCTGGTATGACGTGATGAGCGATATGTATTTTGCTTCCGGTTTTGTCTCTAAAGTGGCATGTTTTACCACAGTGAGCTAGGAGGAGAGAAAGAGTAAATTGTTAAACTGAAATGCCTAGCCTCAAAAACTGTCATGTATGGGTAACGGATTGTTAAATATGCCACCAAATGACATATTTAGCACAACATTAAAATAGAATCTGGTGATCGCCTCTTTTCTTTGGTTGTAATGAAAAAGACAACTGTATTAGAAATTTTAATTTTTTCAAACATTTTCTAAGTCACCAATATCTCAGCTACACAAGCCCTGGTTGTAACTACCAGTCACACATACGCGTGTCACACTGCTGACCGGAGGACACCAACTAATTTTACAGTAGTTTTACTTTTCCCCTTCATCTTTATAATTTTCAGTGGCTCCTATTATTACTATATGCTGATGCTTGAATTTCTTTAATAGCAGGTGTGTGTTTCCAATTTTTGCTACTACAGCACAAGTTGAAAAGAAATACTTTCACAATGTTTCATTTATAAAATTATTTCCTTAGAATAAATTCCTAAGAGTAGAGTTTCTGTATAAAAAGTGGAGCATATTTGTGGCTCTTCCTACCAGGGTGTTATGAATCAAACTGTGTTGCCCAAAAATGTGTTGTACATCGTAACCTCTCAGTCTGTGTTTATGATCCCGTTGGTGAAGGGACTGTTTTTACGATGTCAATGAGATAGGATTCCTGTAGGCTGTGGCTTAAATCAATCTTGGTGGGTCTGACTCACTCACTCACTCTATTGGTGACTCTTTAGGACAGAGTGGAACCGCCCCGTGGGTTTCTGAGACTGTAACTCTTTACAGGAGTAGAAAGCCTTACCTTTCTCCTGCAGAGCGCTCGTGGTTTCAAACTGCCGACCTCACAGTTAGAAGCCCAACACATAACTACTACATCAAACAAGCAAGCAAAGGAAGCAGAGGTGGAAGATGAGAGGGGCCGGCCATGTGAAGATCACCCAGGAGCGGAGCTCAATGAGGTAAGGACCTTCTTCCAGAGGAGACACAGAGAGAAAGCCTTTTCCTAGAAGCAGAAGCCTGTTTGGACTTCTAGCCTCATAACCAGCGAGAAAATACACGTGCTTGTTAAAGCCACCCACTTGGGGTATTTGTGACAGCAGCACTGGATAACTAAGGCAGAATTTGGCACCAGGAGTGGGGTGCTGCTCTAACAAACCCAAGAAATGTGGAAAGTGGTTTTGGAATCTGATGGGTAGAGGTTAGAAGAGTTTAAGATGCTTCACAGTTAAGGCCTAGATTGCCTTGCAAAGATTGCTGGTGAAATTACGGATGTCAAAGGTAATTTTGGTGAGCACGCAGAAGTGGGGAGAGCTATAGAGAAAGTCTCTATTACTTAAAGAATACTAATGGTGCCAGCAACAGAATGTTGCTAGAATGTGGACAGTAAGTGTGCTCTGGTGAGACTTTAAAAAAAGAGAAAGGATGATAATACTATTGGACAACAGAGTAAGAATGGTGTTTTTTTTATGTCATGGCAAAGAACTTGTCTGAATTATGTTCAAAGATTTGGTGGACAATGAAGCACACATCATTCCTCTAGTTTCTGAATGCTTCTTCCCCCCCACTACGATGACCCAGTTCTATTTTACAAATCCAGCTAGACCAGAGTACACACATTGGTACCAGTAAGAGCTCTTGACACATGGAGTCCAAGACAGATAAAACCCTCAGGAAGAGTCGTGGGAGTAGCGAGATATGGTGG